CTCATTTCAAAAGTGACAGTTAACAAGGACATTGTGGAGTTTAAAAAAGTAATACAGTTATGGAAAAAAGAGCATTTTAGAGAAAAAGAAATGAAGAAGGCCATAGGACTGAACACTCCTAGGGTGTTTGAAGAACAACAAAGAGATTCATGAAGCAAAGCAGGGGTATGAGAAGAGTGATAAGAAAGATCAGACAGGTAGGTGGAGGGTCTCAGTGTGTTGAGTGTTTGCAGGATTTTGTAATAACTTCAACTTTACAATGTGTGAAGTGGCAAGAAACGAAGTTTGAGAATAAAAAGAATATGATCTGCATTTGAAAGGTTTTTCCATCACTGATGTTGAAAAAGAATTTCAAAATTACAAATGTGTTAGTAGAGAGATGAATTAAAAGGCTACTGGACTTTTGCTCTAATCCAGGTAAAAGATGATGGGAGCTTAAATCAGGATGTTAGTGATGTGGGTGGGAGGCTTGGGGAGTGCTCAGATTATGAAAATATTTTTTAATGTGGTATTAGCTGGATGTCTTGATGGATTTTACATGGTGTGTGATATAAAGAAAAAGGTATAGCTACAATATTTTTGGTCTGAACATACTTAAAGACAGAGATGTCATCTGAAATGCAGAAGGCTGTTGTTGGAATGTGTTTGAGGAGGAGATTAGCAGTTCATTTAGCACAGTATGAAAGCTCAAATTATTCAAATTATTATTTGTAAGAGCCAAGAGCAGAGAAGGTATACAGTGAAGGTATCAAAAACAAGTTGGATATAACTTGAAGACTATGATTAGAGGAAGATTTGGGTTGGATATATTATGGTCAAAGTCCCTGCTATACAGATGATATTAACAGCCTGGGGATTGTATAAGATTACCAGGAAAAAAATGCAAAATGAAAAGATCCATGGGCTGATTTCTGGGCACTCCAACCCAAAGAGAAGAAACAAACAAAATGCAAAAAGAATGAGCAATGAGACATCATTTGCTCTGCACGTCAAGTGAACATAACACATCAGATAAATACTCTTTGAAATGAACTGGCTTTTTGACATTTTCCAAAATCACTCCACAGTTGCTACATTGACTACATCTACACGCAAGATCTTACAAGCCAACTCTTTTGTAATTCTGTTCAACGTTTTGTGGAAAAACCCTATGTTTTCCTTGTATCCACTGAGATCCTATCTTTGATCTATCTATCTATCTATGTTTATATGATAAACTTAGGAAGTAAGGGATAAATACTGAAAAAAATATTATTCTCTGCACACTGTTTTGCTGAGCATTCTTACTTACTTTTGAAATGACATTTTCCCCCCTAAATGTGCACAAGAAGAAAACTGAGGACAGCCTCTGAATTTGTGGTAAATTTGATACTGTGATAGCACAGAAATGAATGATGAAACCAGTACTAAAAGTAGGGTAAACTGTAACTCCTACACTTAATGACTTTTAAACATTTGAGACTTATCACATCATGTTTTTCTTTCTTCTGAAATCAAAGGACTGTTGTTATTAGTAGATTATAGAAAATACTTTTGAATAAACACAGGAAAAAATATTGGAACCCTTGAACTGCAACAGCCAAGGTGAGAAAAAAAGGTCTTATTTTGGCACAAATGTTTTAAATGCAGATTTTAGAATTTTTGCCATATAATAATGTTTAGTCTGCTAAGCTAAAGTAGAAGAGATTTCATTAATGGATTCTATAGTTTTTTTTTTTTCTTTAGAAAAGGAAAATTTAAGCTCTTATGTGGGAAATAAACAGAAGTTCATTCTTTGTATATGAGAAATTCCTTACTTAGCGAACAAAGAAATAACAGGTCTATTAACAATATTGATGGTGAGTTCAGATAGGGAATTGAGCATGTTTTGTTATAATTAGATACAAACTGGTTCTAAGAAGATGAAGTTTAAGTTGTTAATAACTTAAAATCCCCCATGGCATAGTGATGCAAAGTAGGAGGTCTACAAGAGCCCTAGGACACACTGTAATTTGTCTAATTTGCGGTGAGCTAATAAGGCTGAGAGTGGCATTCTTATGAATAAATGGATAATTTATGAAATCAAAATGACATCTATTCCTTATATCTTGTGTTAATTCTTAAACTAATATATTCTCTTCTGTTTCTCAAAGCAGTTAAACTATTTAGGTGAATTTTTAAAAGTAAAATATGCCTTTTATTCATTGGAATTCAAAACTGAACAAAAAGCCACCTTCAAATAAATGGTCTTATGATTAAGCCTAACTGGGTGAGAGCAAACAGAAGTTAATATACTAAAAGGAATTATTGAAGTAAGAGTCAAATATGAAACCACCATTATTCTTCAAAGGCCGACTTACATGAGACTTATATAATAAGATATTCTGAAGTCTTATAACATTTCAAATAGAATGGATTCTAAGACACAGTATAAAAGATCTGAACATCAAATGGCAATTAGGCATTATGGTGAAAGCTGAAGAATAATCCATTTCACTTACAAGGAAAAAATGAGTCAGATTAAATTGAAGAGTATTTCATCAGAAAGTTTACTGAGAATAGTTTGCTTCTCTTAAAAAAAAGTTTAGTACTATTGGAGAATAGAAATTTGTAATTTAAAATGCTTTCTATTTTATATCTTAAGATATTGAACTGAAGAAATGTGTTGTATGATTTGAAAACTTACGTTAGCCCAAATGTCTTTAATTCTAATACTTCATGATTATTTTTAATTCAATAAAATGCTCAAGAAATATCCTATTTTTATTTAGAGAGAAGGAAAACTTATCATTTTTATATTTATCTAGAGGAGGAAACCATGGCCTATGACCAACTTAGACCCAATATGCCTGATTTTGTAAGAGCCAAGAGCAAAAAATGCTTTACATTTTTTTGGCTGAGTAGGGTGTCTCACATCTGCAGTTCTAGGACTCTGGGAGGCTGAGGCAGGAGGATTGCTTGAGCTTAGGAGTTTAAGACCAGTTTGACCAAAACTGAGACCCTGTCTCTACTAAAAATAGAAAAACCAGCCTGGTGTAGTAGCATATGTCTGTAGTTCCAGCTACTCGGGAGGCTGAGGGAAGAGGATTACTTGAGCCCAAGAGTTTGAGGTTGTGTGAGCTATGACATGAGGGAACTCTACTGAGGGTGACAGAATGAGTCTCTGTCTAAACAACAACAACAAAACCAAAACACATTTATTTTTAAAAATGAAAAGAATAGGTAAGATCTCACTTAATGTTCATAATGCAAGGGTATATTTCAAAATAACTAAGAGTAAATTTTAAATGTGTTACCACAAAAAATAAGTAAATGAGATGATGGCTGTGTTAATTAGTTTGACTTAAGTATTTCACATTATGTATCAAATCATCACATTGTATCCTATAAATGCATACAGTTGTGATTTTAAATAAAAAGTAATAAAAAATTAAAAGTAAGAAATAATACCCCACAATACACAAAATTTCTGTAAAATTAAAATCTTATTTTTCATAAATAAAGTTTTAATGGCTCACAACCTTGCTCATTCATTCATGTATTAGTTACAGCTACTTTCATACTATAATGGCAGAGGTAATCAGAACTCAGACTTGACTGCCTACAAAGTCTACAGTTTTATTTATTTATTTTCCTAGCCTTTTAAAGAAAAAAGTTGATGGGGAATAAAGAAACTCTTTTAATGGTTATGTTATTTTAAATTTCTTAATTATTATTTGGCATTGGTCATAGACTCAATATGGTGATAAAACGTGATTAGATAAAAACTGTACATGATAGTGTCTTTCCCATATGGCTAAGCTTAGACTTAAGCTATGAACAAAAGTAAGATACTTAGTTGAATATTAGTTTATAATATAATAAAAGTCAGTGCTTGAATCAAAAATAAGATTATTTTCAACATTTAAACAACACTGATTTCCTTCTTTAGACATGTTACTTGAAATCAGAGTATTTTAATTGCATTACAATATTCTGTTGTTTTAGTGAATGAAATGAATGTAACATTTTAAATGATTATATTTTAAAATATTTTGTTTATTTTTTATCCTTATATATGTTTTGATGTCCAGTGACCTCTGAAAGTTTTATCGGTGGAAGTGTACTTTTCCTGTGACAGCAATTTCTTCTTCAGTAAGTCCTTGGTCTCTGGGATTCTAAGAATAAGTTGAAGGACCACAGATCAGACATAAGACAGGATTTATTTTACAGAAAGCAAGACAGAGAAAAAGCGCCAGAGTGCCTGGCAGAGGGAAAAATTCAAGTGGGAAAAAAATCCCCCCTGCTTTGGTCTTTAGTCTAGGGGTATATATACACAGCCTAACAAATGAATAGATACAATCCCTTGGTTCCCAGGCCTAGGAAATTTATATGAAATTGACTAGGCTTGAGAAATGGAGGGGGGTTTCTCCTTCCAGCTCCAAGTGCAAGGGGAGGGAGACAGAGGTTGGGTAGAGACACTATGGTGCTCCCTGAGCTGTCAATCTAGCGGTGTCTGTCCAGCAGTTTTCAGGCCCCTCCGACCACTCACTGGAGACTTCAGTGGCTGTGCCCCCCCAACCCTTTGGTTCTAGTGCAGTCTGCTGCTGCACCAACACTCCCATGGCGAAGATGGCAGGTTCTCCCTTCAGCTCTACCTTGGCCAGGGGCACCACCCACCCTGTGTCACTCCTAATGCATCAATGACTCAGAACTTTGGTATCATTGGTTTCAGAAACCATTTTGCCATCCACTATCCTGTGGGTAGGGGTTCTTTTGGATGGTTTGCATGGAGTTGTTCATGTCCAGGGCAGCACCAAGGTTGAAGTCCTCCGTGTCTTCCAGCAGTAGATGGTGATCTCAGCCTCTAGCTTGATCTTGATGTTCTGCAGAGCCTGGTACTCCTGGGCCTGGCTCTGACCCTCGCTAGCTCTGACTCCAATGCAGCAGGATTCCATGAAGAGGCTCCATATTCATGGCATAGCAGGCCTCCACCACCCTCAGGCTGTTCTCCAAGCTGGACTTCAGATTTCTCATGGAGTCCAGGTCAATCACCACGGTCTGTTTCAGCTCTGTGAGCATCATCTCAGCAGCTTCAACCTCCGCAGACTGTGAGGTGACCACTGTGGTGATCTCCTCAATTTGTTGGTACCAGTACTTGTCCAGTTTTCAATTCTTCTGAGCCAGCTCTTCATACTGGGCCCACATGTCTGCCATAATCTTGCTAAGTTCCGGGATCTGGGAGCATCTACCTTCACGGTCCACTCATAGCTGGCAATCCAGGCTTGTAGTGTTTTTATTTTCTCCTGGTGGTTCTTCCTGAAAAGCAGTTCTACTTTGAGAGCCTCTATCTGTCTCCAACTGCAGCTGACTGACATTGGTGTCATCAATGACCTTGCGGGGTCCATGGATGTCATTCTCTACAGACTGGCTCACAGCCGGCTCTGACTCATACTTGACTCTAAAGTCATCAGCAGCAAGACAGGTATTGTCAATCTGCAGAATGCTGCAGGCATTGCCCAGAGAACTTGCAAAGATCTGGGTGCTCAGGTCCTCCATAGTCTTGAAACAGTGTGCCCAATCTCTGACCTGGGGCCCTTTCTTCTGCAGGTGTCCCCAGATTTTGCTCTCCAGCCTTCAATTATCAGTCTCCAGGTTCCTCACTCTGTCCAGGTAGGAGTCCAGGTGGTGATTCAGTTCTAGTATGGTCTCCTTCTCCATTTGGATACCCCCCATTCCCACCAGATCCCCTGCAATCCCCATGGCCAGGCCCCTGGCCATCACTGTGAGAAGGCGATGGAGTGAGTGGTAAAGGACATGATGTCAGAAAGAAAAAGGAGAAGACAAAGATCTGAGAGATCTGGACAATATTTTGTTTATTTTAATGTAAGTACTCCATCTATATTTAATTGAATTGCTACGTACTACTAGACAAATTTAACAACAGTGGAAATATGCTTTCCTCAATGTGAAATATATTTGTTAAGAAAAGATGCTTAATATTAAGTGTGATTTTTATTATTTTGTTTCTGTTTAAATGAGAAGAGGTAATTATTGGTCATTTTTGATAATTGGAGACAAAAAGAAACAATAGATATAACTATAATAAATTCCCAGAGAAATATAAAACAATTTTCATATATTTTTATATAATATTTCCAAAGCACTTAATATAGAGAGTAATGACACAAATAATCAAATAGTTCTGTAATAAAAAAGGAAAAAACAAAAAGGAAAGAAGAAAGTGTAAATTAAAAGGACCAATTAATAATAAAAATATGCAAAAACATGAACATTTAAAAAGAAAAAGGAAACTATTTTACTATTCCCACAAAAGTCTGCTTAGTCATATGATAAAAATATGTATTTTATTAATAGTCGGCATCAAGAGGGAAAGCATATTGTTATGAAGAAAGCGTGAGAATGAAGGATCATATTACTGTGTCAACAACTGCTATGATGGGTGATATAGGAAGCCAATTTGCTAAAATGACTAAGGGCGTGAGTTTAGGAGCTAAATACTATGTATCATATTCCTGATATCTACTATCTATGATATCTTGGGAACATTAAGCTGCTAATACAAAATACTATAGCTTGGGTAGTTTATGAACAGCAGAATCTTATTTCTCACAATTTTGCAGGCTGAGAAGTCCAAGAATAAAGTTCTGGCATCTTAAGCTTCTGATGAAGCCTGCTTTCTCATAGAGGGCACCTCTTACTGCCCTGAGAATTCACTTGGAGGAAAGGCAAACTAACTTCCTGGATGGGCGCTAATACTTTTCTAGAAGGCTCAGCCCTAATGACCTAATCACCTTCAAAACACTCACTTCTTAATACTTGGGGATTAAGTTTCAGCATATGAATGTTAGTGGGACATAGTCATTCAGGCCATAGCAGTTATATCAGGAAAGTGTGTTAAAAGATGCTTGGTACTGAGCGTTTCTTAAGAAATAGCAATTTTTATAAACCTTGGCAATATGTTCTTTACATTTAGATAATATCTGAGGTTATTAAACTTCTAGTGCTTTTTCTTAAGATTTCACTCTGTGTGCACCTAATAGCAATGGGAATTACAACTAGGCATCTGAGAATCTACCCTAAAAAGAAAACATGTCATATTCTCTTTGACCTTAAACTAAGTAAATTTTACTTTTTACAAAATTTGTTATATATTACTACTAAACAACATTATATTTCTCCCATGTGTTTTGTATAAAATGTTGTTCTAAGATAATGCTTTGTGTTTTTTAAAGATAATTTGCTAGATTATCTGATAGGCAGATACTCTTTGAGTGATACTAATCAATTGAAATTACAGAATTTGTTTTTAAATATTTAGTGAGTTTTTACTGTGAGCCAGGCATGATGATGAATGTTGGAAAATATTGACAAAAATGCAAGCAATATTCCCAAATTATTTTAAGTTAACAATTTTTTAGTCCCCGAGAATAGGATTACATTTTCCCTTTTATATATTCTTAGGAATTTTTTGTCTAAAGTTGATAATAATAAAAATTTTGTGCTCTATTTACTAAATATAATTATTGACAGACCCTTAGAGGAGAGGCCACCTGTACAACTTTTATAATACTAAAGATATTTTTTGGTCACTGAGAGGTTTAATCAAGTCATTTTACAACATAAAGAATTATAGTCAGAAGCATTCTTTTTTTTTTTTTAATCAATCCCCACCCCCAGAAGCAATCTTTAATGATAGTGACAGACAAAAACCGGACAATCATAAATAAAATTCAAAGCATGACCACAACATTACAAAATAATATGAACAATTATATTTCGTAATTATAAAACGTGATACATTTTTCCAGCTAAGTTTTAGGGGAAAAATGGTTTTATTCACTACTTAAATTTGAAAATACTTTCTAAACATATTAATTCTGGTAATGAAGTTGATAAATGAAAGTGAATAATCACTGTATACTTGAAGAATATAACATTAAATTAGTTCTTCTTTTGAAGATTTTAAATGCATCAGAAGTATAAAAAACAATGAAATGCAAAGCATAAAAATGAAAGTTATAAATCACTATAAGTTTAGTGGAAAACAGATTTGGCTTACATCTGCTCCAATTAAAATATATTTGAAAAGTTTATTATTTTGGTTAATTTTTGAAAATACAAACATGCTTAGCTTTAGTTTTAATTTGCTTTATTTCCCTGTTACCGAGTACAAGAAAACAGAAAACCTGCTCTTTGGAGTTTTCTGTGCAGATTTTACTATTTTTAAATATTTTACTCTATGGAAATCCACATTTTCATGAAAATTGACAAATTTAGTGGAGAAAAGGCTTCAAGTTTCAAAAGATTTCGAAATAATTTTGTTTTTTGTGCCCAATACTGTTATAAGAAGCAAATAAAAAAGTAATATTTAACACATTTAGTCAATGTTCCCTCAACACTGTCATCACATAACTTATTTTGATACATATAATTGATACCAGACTTTCTTCTCCAGTAGATCCCTGGTCTCAGAGATTCAAAGAATGAATCCACAGACCACAGATCAGTGGTAAAACAGGATCTATTTTACAGAAAAGAATACAGAGAAAGCACCAGAGTTTCTAGCAGAGGGAAAAACTCAAGTCAGAAAAACATCTCCCCTCCTGGGTCCTTTGTCTAGGGGTATATAGAGAGCTCAATAAATGAATGGATATAATCCCTTGGTTCCAGGCCTAGAAAACTTACATGAAATTGATCAGGCCTGGGAACTAGGGGGTTCTAGTTTAGTGCCAAGTGCAAGGGGAGGGAGTGTCTGGGCAGAGGCACCAGGGAGCTTTCATAGCTGACAATCTGGAGAGGTCTCTGAAGCAGTTGTCTGGCCCCTCCTGCTACTAGAGCCTCCTGCATGTCCACCCAACCCACTGGTTCCTCCGCTGGCTGCCAAGTGCCCAGACCCCCAGGGTGGAGATAGCAGGGCCTCCCCTCAGCTCTAGCTGCACTGGCTGGGGTGCCACCAGCCCTATGTCATAATGAAGACATAGACAACATTTCCTGTGCTCATATTGATAGTCTGTTCAATTTCTTACCTGTTCCTTAAACAACCACTTATTATACCATCTAAAATTAAAGGAAATGAAGCAATTAAATATTTCACTGAGTTATTTTTTAGTTTAATCTAAAATATGCGCACATATCTTAATTTAAACATAACTAGTTGAACCATTTGCTGTGTATGATTTTTATAGACATTTTAAATCTGTACACATATCAAAGTAAGTTTGAACATGCAAGGCAAAGGTTTGATATGCCTTCTAAATAATTCCTTTTAAACATTTTGTTAGTCTTTCAAGTGATCAAAAAGGAGAGATATCATGCATCTGGCTATCTTTTTCTTTTGTAGTTATGCTTGGCTTTTTATGGAAATAAAATTAAAATGTGAAATGCAGCAAAAATTACAGTAATGTTATAAGCGATAGGTAGAAAAATAAAAAAAAATTTTTTTTCTTACATTAAAGTGATAAGAACACCAAGAAAGATACAGCAAAAGTGGCATGCTTACTCTAACTTTCCTAACCTGAATTGAAGGAGAACGTCCTCTAATGAGATACTATAAGAATGGTTTAATATGAAGAATTTTACCAATTCAAATGCGGGCACAACAGTGTCAGGATTAATACAGATAGCTAAAATTCATTTTCTCTGTAGTTCACTCAATAAAGGTATTGTCCTGGTTTCTACTCTTCCCATCTAATTGTCAATCATTCCATT